GAATTTAACAAGGAGAAAAGTCTGTGGAAGCTACAGAATGCCAGTGTTCTTTGGGTGTATCAGAGAGAGCTGGGTTTGCACGGCAGAGTAAACTGAATCCCAAAGAGTGACGAGCCCTCTGATGAGATGGGACATACAAATTGCTTTGTCTCAAGAAGAACGTGAGACAGGTGGCCACTTTACAAGCAGGTAAGAAAAAAAAAGCTAAAATGTTAACAGGTTTTTTAAAGGCTGCGTACTGGCTAGCCATCAGTTGGGAAGAGCTGGGAGTCTCAAATAAGAAACAGAGTTCTTCTCAAGGGTCTACGCCAGGCGCTCATCAGATGCTGGGGCGGGAAGGGGGGAACTCCTGTTAGTGGCTCAGGCAGGCAGGAGGCAGGAGGCATAGGTATGAAACCCTGCCCGCTTCCCCCAAACCCTTTCCTTGAGGGGTTCAAGTCTTAGGCTGCTGGTGGGGAGGAGCAACACATCACATTACCCTCAGACCCAGGGAAAAACCCTTGATTTTTTGGGGGAAAAATAAAGGCAAACCCTTCAGGCTCTGGGGCAGAAGTCGGAAATGCTCTGACAGTCACTGCTAGAGGAGGCCAAGCAAATACCTCTGACCTTGGAGCAGGGGCAGAAAACCCTGGGCCCAGGGTCCTACCGGGATAACAAATAGATGTGCTACCCTGAGGGAGGGCTCGGAATTCACACACAAGAACAATAGCAGATTTCCGGCAGTTTGGCTGCCACAGGGGAAGGGGCAGGAGTGTTGAGAGAGGCACCCCTCCAAGGCCCAGGCACACAGCCTGCCTTAGACTGAGGCATCAGAGTCAACTGAGAAACCCTGCGCCACCACCAGCCTAGTACTGAGTAACAAGGGCCACCAGTCTGTCATGGCGGAAGTGGGCACTTGGAGAGCAGGAACGGCGTCTCTCTTCACTGGCACATAGTACTCCATGCATGTGTTTAGAGTGAATAAGAGATTGATTAGAAGAATGAATCAGCAACCCTGAGAACAAAGGGGTCGGGGGAGAAAGTTAGTTCTAAGATATTCCCATATGATGTTCCTCAGACTTTACATAGCTACTTGGATAGTGATAGAACTAGTGAATTTGGGCTCCGTGCAAATTCCAATACTCTGCCTCACTCCCTCTTTCTTCAGGGACCTGCAATCAACTCGCAGTATTCCTTCCCTCTTTCCAGCAGGACAGGAGCTTGGTCTCTCAAGTTCCTTGAAGGCAGGGATAATGGTTAATTCTGCATTTGTGTCAAGCATCAGGCATTGTGCACGGTGTGTAATAGGTGCTCAATTAATGCGGAAGAAATGGATGCCTGTGAGGCTGAGTCAGTGGAGGCAGGGAGGCTGCTTGGAGAGGGTCTAGAGACCTTCAAGGGAAAGGAGACTGTACCCAGGTTTCCCTGGGGAAGACCCAGGCGACCCCATCCCCCTGGACACAGACACCTCTCCCGTGGGTTCAGGCTGAGTCTGCATTGAGGGCCTTGCTGTAGACACGGGGCTGCAGTGCCTGCCATCTGCTGTTTTAGGTAACGTCATTGCTATTGGACGTGAAGCTCCTGAGCTGACGCTCTAGTAGCAGCTTGTTTCTCTCCTATTGTAAAATAGAACATTCTTGTGTTCTTACAAGGTTGAAGCCATCTAGCATTTCCCTTAGGCCTTTGACTCACCACTTACAGGCAGGGTTGCCCTATGATTTGTGGGGCCTGGGAAACAGTGCAAATGGAAGTCCATTAGCCATGTGTCTAAATAGTTAATAGCTACACATCAAGCTAAATAATTGTTAAATTATGTATGACCCTCCTATATTGACAAATACCTGTAGTTATGGCTTTTATGAGACTGCAAATTGGCTAAATGTCAAAGATGATATTCAGCCCTGGCCAGTCTGACTCGGTTGGAGTGTCATCCCATACACCCAAAGGTGGTGGGTTTGATTCCCTGTCAGGGCACATACCCAAGGTGCGTGTTTGATCCCTCGTCAGGGCACATGTGGGAGGCACCCGACTGATGTTTCTCACATCGATATTTCTCTCTTGCCCTCTCTCTAAAATCAATTTTAAAAAAATGATATTCAAACACCTAAATTCAATGATCACAAAATTAAAATATAAAAATATAAATTCAATTTAAAAATGACATCTTTTGTGTTTTCAACAGTTATTTAAAAGCATTCAAAATAATCTGCAAAAGTTAAAGGGAAGAAATCTAATTTATAATTAATTCACAAATTTTTAAAAATTAAATTTCAGGTATTTGAATAAAGTTGAATTTTTTTGGGGGGTTTGATTACATGCTTTATTTATTTATTGGTATTAGAGAGAAGAAGGGAGAGAGGGAGAAAGAGTCATCGATGTGAGAGAGAAACATAGATCAGTTGCCTTCCATTCGCGCCCAACGGGATTGAACCCGTAACCTGGCCAGGGTTATTTATTTTTTAAGTTGAAATTTTCTACTTGACTCTGAAAATGTAATGAAATCTTATTAAATATTTTTATTAAAAAGCTCTTTGTGATTCTAGTGTTCAATATCTTAGAATCAGTATCATGTTCCATGTATGTGATGCCTAGACCTACATATTTACACATTAAGAGTAATATGAATTGTTCAATATTGCAGAATATTCCTCACCCTCTGTGTGAATTGCAAATACTGCATCAATCTGTGAGTACCTCTGCAATCGTCAATTAAAGTATGTAGAGAAATGAGAAAATAGACACTTGGAACAAATGGGAAATGGTATATTGTTCTTTGAGATTCTGCTGCACCCTGCCATGTCGGTGTGGGCTGGCTTAGAGAAGGCTTCAGAGAAGGTAGCAGAGTGACTCTGGCTTCCACTAGATCAGGGGTCCTCAAACTTTTTAAACAGGGGGCCAGTTCACTGTCCCTCAGACCGTTGGAGGGCCGGACTATAGTTTTAAAAAAAACTATGAACAAATTCCTATGCACACTGCACATATCTTATTTTGAAGTAAAAAAACAAAACGGGAACAAATATTTGTATTTGCATGTGGCCCGCGGGCCGTAGTTTGAGGACCCCTGCACTAGATGCTAACTGAATGCCTGCCATGTCCCAGGCTCTCCATACACTGCTATCTTTCCTTCCCATAATAACTTCCTTCCCATAATAACTTACAGAGGTGGTAATTTGTGTCCCTTTTACAGATGGGAAAAATAAGGATCAGAAAGGTTACGTAACTTGCTCAATGCCACACAACTAGCAGTAAGAGTTGGTGCTAGAGTTATAAAACCCGGGTCTTCCTAACTCCACGGTGGGTGGACTTGCCACTGTGTCCTCACATTGGAAAGATGTGTAGGAATTTACCTGAGAGGAACAAGGTGGGTAAAAAGGGCATCCAGGCAAAAGCATTTGTTACTCAAGGTCTGAGGTGTGAACTGAAATTATAGAAGCAAGGCATGTTTGAATGTCCATGAAGATGAAGTCACATAAGGATGTAAATACAACCTTTTGACTGACTTGAATGGGGTCCTGTGTAACCCCCTTTGCCTGGTTGTTTTTAAGGAATTTCCAAAAGGCCCAAGTTCTTGGTGTGCACCTCAAGAGGAAATACATCCACCAAGAACCACTCCTGGCGGCTAACTGGGCACAAATTCATAACCAGAGTCTAGCAGCCATTGCCAACAGCCTCTCACACAGCCTGCTTCTCAGGAAAAAGCCAGGCAAGGCTGCCAGCCTCCTGCCCTATGCTCCTGCCATCTGAACCCACCTTTATAAAGGAGTTCCTGGAATCGCCTTTCAACCAATGGGCTGAGACCTGCCCTGTCCAATCGGAACTGTGCAGCTCTGCCCTCATTTACATGCTTTCTGACCAATCAGAGCAGCTCTAGGACAATTACTCTCACCAATCAGATTGTAAATCTGGGTTCCTCATTTGCATAGCAATGGACCAATTAGTAACGAGGGAGGGAACTTTATAAAAGCCAGCCTCCCTTTAGTCTCAGACGCGTGCACTTAGAATTTCTGTCCTGGTTAGTGTCTCCTGGGTTAGCAAACTTTACCTGGGAACCGGTTCTCTTAAGGGCACCTCAGCCTGAGGACTCCTGTTGGCATTGATCGGTGGCAGCCACCTTGTGTTGACATTGGTAACATCATTTCTGTCCCGGCAGTCTCCGTGTGTCCGGGGGCTGCGGGAGACGCTAGTGGACGCTCCAGGGAACCTGTCTGTGGATTTGCTTATTAAAGCGATTTGATCTTGAAGTTAGCTTTGCAGACATTACCCAGCGAGCAGCCTGTGAGCCCCTGTCCTGCGGTTAGGGAATCTCCGACATGTATTCATTAGCGCGGGCTCCAGTTTGAAGTCGGTGAAAGGAACCAACAAACTAACATTCCTCAAACCCAAGTCCTACCCGATTTCGCCCAAATCGCACTCGGTGCATTTCCACTGGGAATTAGCGTCTTTCAACATTTCCACAAAGCTCGCTACAGACTCAGCTTACTCCAGGTGGTCCCGCGGATTTTGAACAGATTGTAGGTGCAATCAGAACGTGGACTGGGCACAGCATGGTCACCAGTCCGAACCCACCGGCTTGGGAACGTGCGCAGGGGCCGGCTCGCCTGTGGGGTCCCGCAGCCCCGCCCCGGGGGCACTCGGCGTCTGCTCGCTGAACCCGCGAGGCGGGGAGGGCGGCGGGAAGGCGGGGACGGGGATTGACGTGTAGCAGGCTCGGTGGCCCTCGATTCCCACTCTCCCAGCCCCTCCCGACGCCCTGGACCAAAACACGCTCGTAACAGCGGGCGGGGCGCCGGCGGGCGGCGGACGGCGGACGGCGGGCGGCGGGCGGCGGGCGGCGGGCGGCGGGCGGCGGGCGGCGGGCGGCGGGCGGCGGGCGGCTGGAGGTGGGCGGTGGGCTCGCCGGGCGCCTGCGCCGGTGGCGGCCAGGTGGGCGGGCACCTGGGCGGGGCGCGCACCCGGAAGAGCCGAGGACCGAGCAGCGCAACAGGCGGCGGCCGAGGGGCTGCGGCGCGGAGCGGCCCGGGATGGACAAGCTGAAGAAGGTGCTGAGCGGGCAGGACGCCGAGGACCGGGGCGGCCTGGCCGAGGTGAGTGTGCCCCCGCCCGGCCGTGGCGCAGGCTCGCGGGCGCCTGGGGTGGGGGGCCGAGCGGGGGGGGCGGGCTGCTGGCGGTGGGAAGGAGCAGGACTTCCAGGATGTCCTGGAAAGCTGCTCTGCCCGTCCTCCCCCTCTCCGTGCAGACCCTGCGCCCCACTCCGCGCGCCCCAAGGCTGGCCCGGGCGCTGGGCTCTAGCCGCCCGCGTCTGTTTACTTGGGTCCTGCGCCCCCCAGGCCCCCGCCCCGCGCAGAGGGCGGCGCTGAGCTGAACCCAGAATCGTCTGCGGATGGAGGCGGCCTCTCGGGGATGGGTTTGCCCCAGCCCTGGAGACCCGGCCTGGGGCCATTGGGGTGCTGCTGGGCCGGGCACCTGCGGGGCGGGGCTCCCTGCTCCGCGCGGCGGGGCGGTGGCCGCACCTGGGGGCTCCTGGCCGCCTTCCTGCCCGGCTGAGGTTGTGGATGTGACACTCCCACCCGGCCCTGTGCACCTCCGCGTGTTGTGTAACTGCCTCCAGCGCGAAACCCGGGACTCCCGCGGGCCGGGACCAGCTAGCGTCTCTGCCCACGCAGTCTGCGCGCGGACCGCGGGCCCCTCGGGAGAGCTGAGCTGCGCACGAAGGCCCCGGCGCTAGAGCCTCACAGACTGTGTATTTCCTCTCTCGGGTGTTTCTGCTTTTGTTGTTTTCCTTTCTGGGTAACAGAATATCATGCCTTTACTTTTCGGCGTGTGTTGCATGGGCCTCAGTTTTCCCATCTCCTTCCAACGCCAAACGTGTATTCGCTGTCACTTTAATCGGCGTCTCCCGTGGTTTCCTCCCACGCTTCCTCCACCTGCTGATGGCACTGCGTTGTGTGCGATGCCAGTACCTCCGGCCTCCGTGAAATCTCAGGACTGCACACTTCACCTTGGAGTAACACCATAGGCATCGGGCGTTGTAGGAATTGAGATTTACCTCCCCCGCCCCCCTCATTTCAAAACAGCTCCCTCTTTCTTTTCAAGTTGTTGCCTTTATTAATTGGCCAAGGCTCAGGGGTAATTTCCTGAGTTCTTTGTTCCGGGTTTCTCTCTCCCGGAAACCTCAGAAGGGACAGGGCAGAAGAAAACTTCGTTGGCCGACAGTCCTGCTTATCCAGCTCTGTGCCCTGCGGACTGTCAACAGCTTTTGTGAGCAGTGGGCTTCTCCAGGGTGACCTTTGCTCTCCCGGAAGACTCTGGGGGAGGGAGTGTTGACAGTGGGATGATGCCAGTGTTATATATTTAGAAAGTCATCATGAAGCAATGGACGGACCCTCGAGAGTGAGTGATTGAAAACTAAATGCTGAATTTTACCTAAAATGGTGACTGCATGTTGGACACAGTGAAGGGTTTTAAGTTGGAAGCTCAGGCCTGTGTTAAATCTCGTTTAAAAAAGAGTAAGTGCTTCTCTCTTGTTCCAAAATACTGCTGTCGGTTTCCTCTTTTGGAACGAAGATTCCGGTTTATATCATTGAATGCCCCCGCCACCGTCCGAACTCCTGGGAAACGTTTCAGAACCGGCCGGATCATTTTCGGAGTTATTGTTGGCTCTATTTTTTTTTTTAAAATATATTTTATTGATTTTTTTACAGAGAGGAAGGGAGAGGGATAGAGAGTTAGAAACATCGATGGGAGAGGAACATCTATCAGCTGCCTCCTGCACACCCCCTACTGGGGATGTGCCCACAACCAAGGTACATGCCCTTGACCGGAATCAAACCTGGGACCCTTCAGGCCGCAGTCCGACGCTCTATCCACTGAGCCAAACGGGTTAGGGCAGGCTCTATTCTTTCTTGTTCGGTAAGGGTCTCCTTTAAAATGTCGCTCTCACATTTCCCAGGGCTCTAAGGCTCCACGGCTGCAGGGTTTTCTGTGGTGGAATGTCTGTCTTATGTGGTAAGTTGGACAGGTGGCCTTACAGTCTCTGCCAAGTCAGCATATAAGCTGTCAGAAGTCACCAGAAGCAAGTGCTTTTATTTTTAAAAATACGTTTTTATTGTTTTTAAAGAGAGATGAAGGGAGAGGGAGAGAAACATCCATGGGCTGCCTCTTGCACGCCCCCTACTGGGGATTCAACTGGCAACCCAGGCATGTGCCCTTGACCAGGAACACAACAAGCGACCTCTCGGTGCATGGGTCCATGCTCAATTAACTGAGCCACACTGGCTTCTAAAAACTTTTCTTCTTTTAATGCAGACCACAGAAGGATGACGAGTTCTGTTCTCCTAGGTAGGAAACTAGGGTTTTAAAAATTGCTTGGCCATGTCTCAACACAAGTGGTCTCACGATGAGTTTTCTGACGCTGCGTCATCCTAACTACACCTTCAGCGTTTCCTGTCAGTGGACTTATTTTAAAAGTATAGGTTTTATGTCCCTGCAAAGGATTCCAGGGACAAGGAAGGTCTGAATGGTCCTTGGCCGGACAGCGCAGGAACGAGGCAGTGTTCCTTTCTCACCTTCTCGTTACCAGCCCTGCTTCCCGAACACGTCTTAGTTTTACTTCTTTTTGGCAAGAGCTGCTCTTCTGTCCACATCCCGGAGTCAAAGGCACCTTTGTGCGTACCTGCCAGCCAGACCGTGCGTGACTGATTGCCTCCACATTCTATCCGGGTACTGTTTTAGCGGCTCTGATTTCCAGAAATGTCCGCCCAGTTCCCAGCAACCGTGAGTTCAGAGAGACATTTTACACCACCTGAGTCTATTTTCATAGAAGTGTTAAGCTTTCCCTGAGTCCAGTTAGAAGAAGTGGGCCGCGGCTTCCTCCTGCGCTTGACCAAGAACTTGCAACCACACAGAGTGGAAAACAGTGGTGAAAAGTCATGCCCCCTTTGGTAAGCAGGCTGGCATTTGGATGGAATTCAGCTTGAGAGACTTGGCGAACCAACGTATCACTTTCCTTCTGAAGGTGGAAAGCAGGCTGCCTCCTGTTGCCAGTGCTTTTGATTTCTACAAGGGCCGGAATCTCGCTGTCCGGCTGTTGAGACCATATCCTTCATGCCAGGGTCAGGTCAAGTTTGATACTTAACCTTATGGTTTATCCTCTTTAAAAAAAGAAAGAGCCCTAACCGGTTTGGCTCAGTGGATAGAGCGTCGGCCTTCGGACTGAAAGGTCCCAGGTTCGATTCCGGTCAAGGGCATGTACCTTGGTTGCGGGCACATCCCCAGTGGGGGGTGTGCAGGAGGCAGCTGATCAATGTTTCTCTCTCATTGAGGTTTCTGACTATCTCTCTCCCTTCCTTTCTGTAAAAAAAAATCAATAAAATATATTTAAAAAAAATAAAAAAAGAAAGAAAAGTTTGAATCTTTTAAAATATCCCTGTTGACCCGGCTGGTGTGGCTCAGTGGTTGAGCGTTGACCTATGAACCAGGAGGTCACGGTCCGATTCTCGCTCAGGCAGCCATCCCCAGTGGTGGGCGTGCAGGAGGCGGCTGATCAATGATTCTCTCTCATCACTGATGTTTCTATCTAGCTCTCCTTCTCCCTTCCTCTCTGAAATCAATAAAAATATAAAAAAATAAAGTAAAATATCCGTGTTGGTGCAAACAGTGTTCCGGTAACCGGTCCAGCCCAACCCTGTACCGCACTTCTCTCCACACGCAGCCCGATGTCATTTCCCACTTGGGCAAGGTGAGTTCTTTGGTGCCTGCATGAGTAGGAGGAATGTGGTTCTTGATTTTATTCTGTTCTTGGTGGGAGTTGGGCAGGTTAGTCAGAGGGGGTCTCGCCCGGTTGGGCGCCGGTGCACCCGGAGAGCAGAGCATCACCTGACTCATTTGGGAGGAGAGGTTTTCCTGTCATTGCACCGGGTGGCGTGTCTGTCCTAATGCCCCTTCTCCCACTGCACGCTACCAGCCCCGAGCGCGCCTCTCCGAGCAGGGTCCTGTGTCGCCACACACTCTTGCAGATGCTGTGTGTGTGTGTGTGTGTGTGTGTGTGTGTGTGTGTGGTATTGCAGTGTCATTAGCCCACTTTCAATGCGTGTGAACACATGGGGAAGCAGGACCCCTGTAATAACCTGCCCTAAATACCTGTGTCCTGGGCGGAGGGAAGCCGTTCCGGAGCAAGGCCTGCCACACCTGGCGGAGCCGCTGGTTCTCCTCCAGCGTCAGGCTGGACAGGAAGCTGGAGGCAGGGTTGAAAACAGGTCCTGAGCTGGGAACACCCAAGGCCGAGGGAGTTGCCAGTCCAGTGACCCTGGCAGCCTCTGCCACCACCTCCCTTCCTCCATCAGCTGGTGGCAACGTGGTCAGCAGCTTCCACCGCGTTGCCAGATGGAGACTGTGCGGCCACATGCGCGATCCTGGGTGCATAGACCCGGCCCGGCCGCCTGCCTTGGCTGTGCAGGCCAGGCCTTTGGTCTCAGTGGCAGCTGCCTGTGCCAGCTTGGAGCTGCCGGGGCCACTTGTCAGGTGGACAGACTAGGAAGATCACTTGGCTGACGCCTTTGGCACAGGGAGAAAACCCTGGGGAGCTTCTCCGGCTCCCTGTTGTGGCAGTTGTTCTGGAAACCGTGGCCTCCGCTGAACTTCGCCCTTGGGAGGGATTAATCTTGGTGGCAGAGAGTCAGGATGGGCCGCGGGTAACTAATTAACTAGGCTCTGCCTCCCACTTGAGGGACATGACTGGTGCCAGCCCTGGGCAACAACACTGACAGCATAAATGACTTAATGAGCGTCCTGAGGAGGGGAGCCTTACCCCCCAAGTCTCAGAGGTGCTGGCGGAGCAGCGACTGCTGAGCTTGAATGGACGCAGGAGACGATGCCCGGTGGACACAGCCGCTGGGTGCCGTCCCTGGCTTTTACCGTCTCCTGGGCCCCACCTGGCAGGGCGCATGCCTTTCCCGTGTGGGTCTGGGCCTGCCCGGGCTGCCGGGAGGCTTGGCTTCCTGAGGGTCTGCCGTCCTGCTTGCTGTTGGAAGTGGGTGGGGCTGGAGACAGAGCCCCCACTTGTGGAGGTGTCCGGCCTCTCACCGCCGCAGGACAGGAGGCTCGTGGACGGAGAAGGAGCTGGTCCCACGACTCGGGCTCTGCAGCTACGAGCGTGTGGGATTCTGTGCTCCCGCCGCCCTCCGTGCACATTCACACACTAACCTAATGCGGGCGTCCTTTGTCTCGGGTGCTGCATGTGACCTGTTTTTCAAACTGCAGGTGGCTGACACATCCTCATTGAGCTGGAATACCAGAATCAAAGGCTTCATTGCGTGTTTTGTTGCAGGAATTCTCTGCTCTCTGCTGGTGAGACTCCCCCCACACCCACACCCCTTGCCTTTGCCCCTGCCCTCCTAAGCTTGGTCTTTCTGGGTCACCCGCCTCCTTTTCTCTGCTGCTTTTCACAGAAATGCATGGGTAAGAGGAGCGGGAGGAGGGTGGGGCGGGAGGGGACTGGGGGGCAGGTTTCTCGGGGGCCCTGGTTGTGGCTGTGGCACAGATGCAGGCACCTCTGCTTGGTCTTGCAGGGCACGTTTCTGCTCTGGGTGCCGAGGAAGGGGCTGTACCTCTTCGCCGTGTTTTATACCTTTGGTAACATCGCTTCGATCGGGAGGTAAGTTTTTAATCTCCCTCCGCCAGTTACTAGATGGGAGAGGGCTGTGCCTGCGCGGGTGCTGAGGAGGTGCCTCCGTAGTTGCGAGGGTGGGGAAGGAAAGAGGCAGTCAAAGCACATCCTCCATGTCCTGTCCCTTCCAGATACGATTATATTTCAAAGTTTACCTTGGAAATACCCCTGGGGGAGACAGGAGCATGTGATCCTGGGATTTCACACGCGAGGGGACATGGTGTCTGTGAGGTTACGACACAGCCCTCTGCGCTGTTCTTGTCTTCCTGCCGCCAGCGCCGAGGCCGTGATTTCACTGCACGTGAAACTTGTTACTCAGAGCAAGACCCTGTCAGACCTGCTGGTGCGGGCAGGGCATCAGCCCGTGCCACGTGCTGTGGCTGCACAGACTGTCCAGGTCAAGTTTGTTCACTCTGACGTCTCAACCACACCCATGGGCTGACAACCCCAGTCCTGCCTCCCGCCAGGGGGAGCGCGGCCCGACTCTGTCCTCTTTCCTCGCCTTCCCCAGAATCCCGGGGGCCCACCCCTTCCCCATCGTTGAGGCTCCGTCCCCTTTGTCCCTGTGGCCATTGTCCCTCATACGAGGAGCCTTGATCCTACCCTGCTGGGCTGTGAGCATTCGCAGACCAGTGTGGCTCGGTTCCTGCCACGATGGAGCTCACGGCCGGCCAGGCAGACACAGAAACTGGTACAGAATCTGCTGTGGAGAGAGATGCTCGGGGAGGCGCTGACCTGGCCTGACCCGACCAGGGACCAGGGAGGGCTTCCTGGAGCAGGTGGCGTGCCAACTGCTCTCACTCTGCCCTTGGCTCACCTGACGCTGCAGGGGTCCGTTGTCCTGTCCTGTGCCTCCTCCATCGCCCCCTGCCGGCCACTCACTGCCCACTGAGCTTGCCGGTGGCTCCGGGTCCCTCTCTGCAGGTAGAGTCCAAGCCCATCAGCTGCGTGTGGGCCAGGCCCTCGAGGGCTGCCTTTACCCCTCCCCTCGCCCCCTGCACCCAGCCAGGCTGACCCTCAGCCTTTCCCGAACATCTCCAAGCCTCTTCTGCTCAGGCCGCCTCCTCTGCATGGGACGCCGCCCCCATGCAGCTCCTCTCCATGCCCTCCCCCCCCCACCTCTTCTAAGAGATGCCTCCTCCCCTCTAGATCAGCACCCCCCTTTCACTGGGCTCTGCATGCCTGCATGTATTTACATGGTGGCGCATACAGCGCTTCGTTAACTGCCTCAGCACAAGTCTGTAAGCCTCCTGGCTGCTTGTCCCTAATCATCCCTAAACCAGCTGTTTCCAGCTGGAACACTGACAAATGATTGTGCCTGCCTCTGGCCACCTCCTTAAAGCTTTGTTTATTGAATGCTGCTGCGCACGTGTCTCGTTGTGCCTCTAAAGCCCTCACATGCTCACTTCTGGGGAGTTGTGCTTTGGGCAGACAGCGTAGGTTACAATGTAGAGTCCAGACCAGTGATGGCGAACCTTTTGAGCTCGGCGTGTCAGCATTTTGAAAAACCCTAACTTAACTCTGGTGCCGTATCACATATAGAAATTTTTTGTTATTTGCAACCATAGTAAAACAAAGACTTATATTTTTGATATTTATTTTATATATTTAAATGCCATTTAACAAAGAAAAATCAACCAAAAAAATGAGTTCGCGTGTCACCTCTGACACACGTGTCATAGGTTCGCCATCACTGGTCTAGACTGAGCAAAAGGTACAGGCCTGTTGTTTCGTCCAGAAGAACTGTTAGTGAATCCCAGCGGGACCGGCCCTGCAGCATTGTGTAGGGAGACAGTCAGGGGAGCGAGTCCTTATTTCCAGGCTGTGTCTAGGAGTTTGTGGCTTTACATGTAGTCTTAGGTGTTTGTGTATTTGCTGCATTTAACTTTGAAGGCCAGCCTTGGCTATTGCTTCTTGTTCAATGTTGGCTAAATAATTGACCCACGAGCACAGCCTTGAATTCCACTGAAACTAAATGGCATTTCAAAGAGAGGTGGACTTATGCTTAAAATGTCTGTTTTTACTGAACACTCAGTGGTGAATGCTGTCTGCTGGCCGGCGTGTTAAAGCCTGGCTATAACAGGCTACCCCTCGGGCGGTGCCACATGGGCACTGCTGTGGAGTCAGGAAATGAGTTGAGGCTGGCTCTGGCCCTGGTGTGGTAGGCATGAGGCACGCTCTCCCTCGCCTGCCACCAGGCAGGCTCCATTCGCACACAAGGCACACGGGGTGCCTTTCGGCACTTGGGAACCTAGAAGATGTGGGTTTGAATGACAGCTCCTTGGGCTCCCAGCTGTGTGGCCTTGGGTAAGTCAGTTCACCTTTCTGAGCCTCATTTTCTCATCTCTGCAAAATTGTACTAACACCCGACTCCCAGAGCTGTTGAGGGGAGGCAACGAGGTCACGTATGTGGTAGCTGGTGTCTAGCGAACATTCAGCGATTCCGAGCTGTTCCCATCAGCAGCAGCAGCAGTATTCTCTGGAGAGTAGGAAGGAAAATGACCTGCTCTCCTTGTGAACACAGATAACCTAAGCCTGTAAGGTGTGGCTTTTCCTTCTTAACCGCCACAATATTGAACTGCCACAATATTTTGAATTTAATTAAAAAAGCATCTGTAGACGCTTATGGCGTACACATGGTTAAATTACTTGAGTGTTTCTGGTTGGTCGGTTCATTTCCATGGGTGGACTGTGACGGCGGCAAGGTGGCACCTCTCACAGAGGGTCCTGTCCCCCCGGAGAGCAATGTGGCCCCAGAGTCAGCCCTGCCTGCACCTACAGCCTCTCCGCCACTTACTAGCTGGGGGCGTGGATGGGCCCAGCCCTCCTGGGCTGCAGTTTCTTCATCTGTAGAATGTCTGGTACGTGTGTTCCTGTGATCGGCCCGTTCGTGTTGATGGATTAAATGAGGACAGTGCACACAAGGCCCTTGAGCGCAGTGCTGGGCACACAGTAAGAGCTTTCAGACGTTAGGCATCACTGCCGTCGTGGCCATGGTTGCGGCCGCCCGGGGGCGGTGGGGAGGCAGCGGTGCCGGTGTGGACTGCTCTGGGCTGATGGCTTGTGTGTGTCCGCAGCACTGTCTTCCTCATGGGGCCCATGAAACAGCTGAAGAGAATGGTGGAGCCGACGCGTTTGATCGCCACCATCATGGTGCTGGTGAGTCCGCCTTGCAGCTGGGCCTTCTGCTCTGGGGCATCTTTTTCTTAAACCCTTTCCTTTCCTCTTGACTCAGTTCCCGATGCCGGTGACCCTGTGGCAGAAGGGAGCACGCTCCACCTAATTATCACCCCCACTTTGTGTTTCTGTGGGTTAAGGTGCTGCCAGTTCTGTAAAGCACCTCCAGAGGGCGCTGCTTGTCAAATTAGCCAAAGTGATAGGGTGGTGAGTGAGCTCTGGTAGTGGGTGAAGCTGTACTGGGCCATACGGGGGGAATCACTCGGAGACCAGGTTCAGTCTCAGGGGTGGGGGTCAGTCTCGGGGGGTGGCTTTCATCGTCCTGTGACCCCCCGAGATGGCTTTCATCGTCCTGTGACTTTGGGGTCGTGTTCATTTCCACGGGTCGTCCTCGCGACCATCGCCCTGTTCCCTGCTCTGACGACAGTGCCTTTAGTCGTGTCCTATCTCCCTGTCCGTTAACCCAGAATGCCTGTCATTTCTTTGGCCCGTTCGCTTCCACGCGACCATCAGAATCACCCCAGACCACACTGTCTGTCCATTATCAGTCGTGTAACCTTGGGAGCTTGGCAGCATACTTTTATTGGATTTGTTTGTTACTTGCCTTTGTTCAGACACGTAAGTTTTCTAAGGCCACGCCCACGTTTGCTGTTCATTTCGTGTCCCTTCAGAGCACTGGGCCCAGTGCTGGACACAAAGGAAATACTTAGACGAATTCCTTTGGCAGTTTCTGTTACAGAAGGAGGCGGTGACAGGCGTGATGGCCGCTGTAGCACCTGTCGTCCTAGGCCTGTTGGATGGAGGTGGCCTGGGCAGGGGTCTTGTAGAAAGAACTTTCTAAGAAGGGACCTAGAGAAAGTGTTAGGGGACAAGGACACAGATACCCGACTCGTCGCCTGTGAGCGTGGCATCTCGTGTTAACCTCTGTCCTCGCGTGGCTCTTCCACTCTCAAGACTGACGTTTGGCAGGAGTTAGGGTACAGGGACATGTGAAGCCTGCTTTTCAGTTTGAGTGGAAAGACGGATGGGACTAGGAATGTGATTTTTGTTTGCTGGGCAGAGCTTTTGGGGAAATTAGAAAAGGAGCCTTCTCTTTTTAATCTGGGAACCTTATTGGCGATTTTAACTTTTCTGCTAAACGTGGGTGCTCAGGCGGCGAAATGCTGTGAAATGAAGGATGCATTTGCTGCCGTGCCCGTCACGGGGTCTGAATGCTGCAGCTTGGTCAGTATTGGTGTAAGTTCGCCAAGAATAAGTCTTTATGGTTTCCCCCCGTGTCGTCATTGTCATTGTAGTAACTCAACATTGTTTCCTTTCTCTCTCCAGTTGTGTTTCACGCTCACCCTGTGTTCTGCCTTTTGGGTAAGTTTGTATTTGCGTTCTCCTGAACCCCTCTGGTTTCTGCGCTCGGCACCCCTGATCACGGGACCTATCGTTTTCCTTTCAGTGGCACAACAAGGGGCTCGCCCTCATCTTCTGCATCTTGCAGTCTTTGGCCCTGACGTGGTGAGTAACCTTTTTGCTAAGGGTCCCTGCCCACGGCCTGGGATGAACGCGCAGAGCGACACACTCTGCGTGCTGCGGGAGGAGGGCCCCGGGAGCACAGAGCCTTCTCCGCGATGCGGTGCAGCCTGTGACGGCCCGCTGCCAGCAGGTGGCAGGAGTGGGCCGGGGAGGCTGTTGGCCCAGCGCGGCATGTTTGCTGGGCTCAGGCTTGATTTCGAGATGTTACTGTTACTAACACCTGGCGTCCAGTAAGAGCAGGGGTGATGAAGTCTGACAAGAGCTGGTAAAAATAGTCTGTGAGTCAAAAAGACATTAAAGAGGAAGGAAAGTGGTAAGAAAAATAATGAGCATTGCATTTGGGATGGGATGACTCATTTAACAGAAGGACGAAGAGGGAGCTGTCAGCAGGAGACGAGGCGCGCCACTGACAGGCAGCCACGTGGCTGTGGGCGGTTTCAGCATCCGCACCGGAGGCTGGGGCGCACGGCCCGGGACTGGGACTCGGGCCAAGCCCAGTGGAAGGTCTGCTGGAGATGCGGTTACCTGAATCCACCATGGGCTGTGGGTTCAGGGCCCGTTCGGTCTGGTCCAGCATCAGAGGGTGGGTGGGGTGGCACGTGTGGCGTCTGTAGCTTCTGACGTTGCTAAGATCCGCTCGAGGCTGACCAGGGGATGATATTTGCCGGACAGGTCAGTGCAGGGGTGACTGATCTACTTTGGGAGAAAAGTTTTGCTCTGATGCAAAGACTGGAGGACTGTGCAGTGTGTTTGAGTGTCCAGGGGTCAGCCACACTCCGGTTTGGTGGCGTGGACCTTGAGACTGCAAGCTTAGCACCATCCCCTGTGGGCAGTTTTGGACTTTTGGGTGAATGTATTTTCACGATCCTTTGGGGAGTCACAGGTAGACAGGCCTGGTGAGTGTAGGTGGGGAGGAGAATGCTGGCCCCATTTGGACGTGACGCGTGTTTTGTAGCAGGCGCCGAAAGGGCCTGGTGTGACCGCTTATGTTTATGTTTTCTGGGGGCAGAAATGTGTACCCACATACATATGTCTTTCTTATATGGTTGTCCCCCTTATCCGCGGCGGACATGTTTGTTCCAAGACCCCTGTGGATGCCTGAAACCAGGGATAGTACCAAACTCCATACAGTATAGGCTAGGCCTTTTTCTACACACACCCACCTGTGACAAAGTGTAACCGGTAAATCGGGCACAGCAAGTGGTTAACAACGTAACTAATAAAATAACACAACACACACAGTTTATTATAATAAAAGTGATGTGAATGTGGTCTCTCTCTGTGGCTACAAAATACCGCACTGCTGTGCCCAGCCTTCACGTGAAGCCCTGAGGTGGTCAGTGCCTTAAGTCGGGGACTGGCCCCTCCTCACCCACAGGAAGCACTGCCCGGCTTCCCTGGGGCAGACCCGACTCCGTCACTGCTCTGGCACCCCGGGCCCGGCACTAAGTGAAGTAAAGGGACCCGAACACCAGCCCTGCGGCTCCGACGGCTGAGCTGGTAACTAGTGGCTGTCGGGCGGAAGCGTGGAGGCGCTGACAGCGTGAAGAGTCACGTCCCGAGCCGGACAGCGTGAGATTTCATCACGGGACTCAACACACAATTTAAAATTCAGTTATTTCTGGAATTTTCCATTTAGTATTGTTGGACCACAGTTGACCATGGATAACTGAAACCATGGAAAGCGAAACTTTGGATGCGGGGGGGGGGGGGGGGGGGGTGGGGGGAGGGGAGGGACGGCTGTAGAGAGCTTCTAAAGCCAGTTTTCGGAGGTCCCGCGGCCCTGTGGGCTGAGGCGCCACCCCCGCTGCACTGACGTTCTCTGACGGTTTGCTTTTCCTAGGGCTGAGCAGTGTCTGCCCCGCCGTCTCCAGGCCTTCCTCGGGGCGGCGGGCACGGCTCCCTGCCGGGCAGGGGGTTGAGCTGCCTGGGGCCACCAAGTGTCTTTGGATTTGGGTTTGAAGAATCAGAGCTTGTTTATAGTTTCATCCATAGAGTAGTTGGTACTGGGCTTTATTTTTTTCTGTTCTTTCTTGTTTCAAAAGTAATTGGAGCAGAGCAGACAATTTCTCCCAATGGTGGAAGCGGTGTTCTGTTGAGCATTTATGAAATACGAGAGGACAGTGGGTCTGGGGCTTGTTTGGCGTTCTCTCCGGACGGCTCTGTGCCATCGGGATTTCTGGACCTGCCTGTTGGAGGTGACCCTGCCGGCTCAGCCGGTCAGATGGGTCACCCCGAGAGCCTGAGGTCACAGGGCTTGTCTCCGCCTGGGCCTGTTGCCCTCCTCCTTTGGACACAGATGACACTTCTCTCCCCAGTATACGGTGGCATAGCGTGTGTGCACGTGCACATGTGTGTGCATGCACAGTATGTGTGCGCGTGCGTGTGTGCGTGTGTGCACCCTTCACCCCGAGGGCCCCATAAGTCCCTGCAGAAGCTCTTACAGCCCAGAAGCCTGTGCCGCTGTAATCGTCTGTGCCCTTCCTTAAATTTGATCTTGTGTTTGTTTCTTCTTGTAGGTATAGCCTTTCCTACATACCATTCGCAAGGTAAGACGGGCTGTATGCGGATGTAACAGCTGTTGCTGGGGGATGTTGATGTGTGTGCATGGGACTGTTAGTATGGGGTGTTTTCAGAGATTGCTTGTTCTTTTATCTTTCCTAAGCCCTTTGAGACCAGCAGGCAGGTGTTACATACCTGTTTATAGATTAGGAAGCTAAGGTCACCCCTGCCCCCATACAGGCAGTGATGGGCATCGCCCCAGGCCGCCTGCAGGTTCTACTGTGATCGGTCGTGTCTGTGCACATGCCCACCATTAACTGGCAGCTTTGAGATTTTCTCAAAGGTGGGTACCACTTCCATGTCCCAGAGCCAGAGGTGGAGGGAGGGGAGCTCGTGCTGTCTTCCTGCAGCGCCTCCCGGGGCGATTCAGGGAGGAGCCTGTAACGGGAAGGCAGCAGGGCCGGGGCTCCCTCCTGTGAGCAGCGTGACCTTGGCAGCCTGCTGACCCTCCGGCCTCAGGGCTCATTGATGACTAGAGCGGGTCGGTCCTTCCAGCTCTAAGGTTCTGGCTCCAAACCTCTTTACATTGGCACCGTCCGTGGTCTTTGCCTCTGACCCTGTTCTCATGTCACCATTTAATTTCCGTTCCTCTCTTGTTAACCAACATGTGTTTCCCAAGCTGTGCTGAGAAAAAGAAAAACGGTGTGTGAACAGGGGGAGCAGGCTTACGTCTGACGCCCCCCAGGTCTGTTGCCGATGGTGATGTGGACGCTGGGAGTGATTGGACGAGGACTTAGAAGCCCTGGCGTTCACGGCAGCCGATGGCTTTGTGAAGGGCTCCCTCCTTCCAGACCCCTAATGGGACGTGCGGATGAGCTTCCGTGAGGGCCCTGTCTCACCCAGAGCACCTCCTGGGGCCACAGGCAGAGCAGAGCTTAAGAAACGTTCTTCTTATCATCTGGCTGTTCAAGCGCACGGGAGTGCACTCCCTCCCTGCCCTGCAGCGGGCTCCCAGGGCCGGGCACAGGTGCAGCCGGGAGCGGGCGGGCTGGGACGTGGCCGAGTAGGGCAGCGGTTGGTTGAGTGCTGTCTGCTGGCTCGCACTGCGTTCCCAGGAGAGTCGGTGAGCTCCGGCTTAGGGTGTCCCGTGCTAGGAGCTCCTGGCAGATGTCCATTGGTACGTGGGCTCCTTGCTGAGAATGGAGGACCCCCGAGCAGCTGTTTTGCTGAAGGTATTGACTGCATTCTGTGATTCTGGTTGCTAGAAAGTGCACCTTCCTGGTACGTCCCTTGGTTCCTGATGGTCTCTACCTCCTTCCTGTCTTTTCCTTTGATCGTCATGATCGCTGGCTGTCATTTAGCAAATTCCTACTCCATTCAACGCCCGTATTCCCACCGCTGGCCACCCCTTTTCACAGATGAGACATTTGCAACTCAAACAAGGCGAGCGACCTGCCTGGGGGCCTGACCCCACAGTCTGGGTGCTTGCTGCTCTGCAAGGTGCTACTCTGGGTGCCAGGAAATGGCAGGAGGCGGGTGACCGTCTCCCGTTGACCCCTGTGTTTTTCCTCCTAGGGACGCTGTGAAGAAGTGCTTTTCTGCGTGTCTGGAGTAACGGGCGGCCGGTTTCGCCAAGCTTTGGGCGGCGCTGCGGAAGGAAGCTGGCGGACGCTTTGTAAATACCTTCGAACCTCTCGCTCACGGAACCTGCCTTTGCTCCTGCGGCAGCGGGTTCCCGCGACCTGAACGTGTACGGACGCTCTGGGAGCAGCGCTGTGTCCCCAGCCCCAGTGTCCATAGCACCGCAGGAGGGGTGGGCATGTGCCTTCCGGAGAGGACGCTTCCTCACACCCCCCTGAACTCTGAATTCTCATAAACGAACACCGAGAGCAGCCGCGGGAGCCAGGATTGCCGGCTGGCGAGCAGCCCCCCCCACACCCCGCCACCCCGGGACACGGTGCGGCGGCCAGGGACAGCGTTGGGCCCACAGGGACTTTATAGATTTGTCCCTCAGCTCGGGGACCACACCCAGGCCCCACGCAGTGTGTGCATGCGTGTTCTCCGGGTCTGGGACCCCGTGACTGCCAGCCGCCGCCCTGGCCGCTGCGCCCGTGCAGAGCCTGCGTGGGAGGCGGGCGGAGGGGGGAGGGGGGAGGCTTGGGAGGAGCCCTCTGGTGACAGTGGTCTTTGTGAATCTGAGCGTCGGCCCTTGCACATTCCGCCGGCTGGGATGGGTCTGTAACATCAGCGCACACCCTTTCCTCTTGGGTTTTCCAGCTTATTTTCCTCATGACCTCCTGGGACTGGATTGAGAACAAAGTCCCCGAGAAAACACTGCTTTTCCTTTGGGACGAGAGCCGACAGGAGGGGAACGTGTTTGCTGTTCTCTGTATTTTTTCTTCATTCATTTCGGTTCTGGAGTGCAGCCAGGGGGGAGAGGGTGGGAAGACAGCCCCAGGGCCCCTGACCTCCAGGCATTCCCAGCGTTGGAGACGCTGGAGAGGGCGACCCGTGGGCTGCAGGCAGGCCCAGCTCAGCCGGATGTCCATCCTCATGTGCTCGCGTGTCCCTGGTCTTACCTGGTCCTCACAAGCCTCGTCGCTGAGCAGTTGAGGAAACCGAGGGTCAGAGAGGTTGCCAGTTCTCCCCAAAGCTCCGGCTGGTGGCAGAGCTGAGCCCGAGCGGGCGCCCAGCCTCAGCCCTTCTCTGGACCCTGTGTTTCCCCGGGTGGCCCTGGGGTTCCCCAGGGCCTGGGTCCCTGCTTCCCTCCACGCCTGTGACCTCTCGGTCCCGATCTCCGTCACTGCGGTGTCTCCGGCCCTGTCCCCTTTGGGAGGCGCCCTGACCAGTGGCCTCTCTGTTCTCTGTGTGTCCTTGAGCCCGTTGCTGCCTGACCATCCGAATGTCCTGTCGGGGCCGCCGGAATTCTTGCATTGAAGGACCTCCACTGGGCCTTTCTGTCCTTGCCCAGCTCCGGCCGCCCACTCGGGCTCGTGCTCGCACCTCCACACCGAGGTGGTCCCCTGGCTGTGGCTGTTGCTGGACCCTCTGCCGCTGCGACCCAGACCGGCCAGCCTTTCCTTTTGCGCTGGGAGGTCTGAGCGGGCCTGAGCGAGGCTGCGGTCCCTCACCCGCTTGCAGCCGGGAAGGGAGGTTGAACGTACCCTCTGGCTTTTATGTGTCCCGGGTGCCTCTTGGAGAGTCCAGGTCTTGACGGGCACAGCACTGCCTTTAAGATGCACCAGGGTGTGTTGATGGTGGTGAACTGGGCTTTGAGGTCAGACCCGTCTGGGTGTGAGTGCGGCTCTGCCCCATCCACACTGAACAAGTCACCTGACCCCTGGCCCTCAGATTGCTCGTGTTTAACCAACGGGAGTAAATAATCCGCACCGGTAGCGGCAGGAGAGGGCCCAGCATGGTGGAGGGGTCGCAGTAAACGAGGTAACGTTATTTAACCCCAGAAATCACCGATGGCCACGGACGGTGACAGGGTGCATGTCTCTGGCCATTAACTTTTCTAAAAGCAGTGCCCTGGGACAACATGTCTGCACGGTGGGTGTTGCCAGGCGTGATGTCATTTAATATCCACAGCAACTCGCCCCGTGGTGGTCTTGTCTCCATTGTTCAAGGGGAGCGGCCTCAGGGGTCTGTGCGGGTCCCACCAGGAGGGGGCGGCGGCTCTGTGGCCTGTGGCCAGTTTGCTCCGACTTCTCCAGTCAGGACACGTGGGCAGCGCGGGCGTGAGCCTGCCTTCCAGACCTTCCAGAACCTTTCAGAAGCCTAAGTTTCTCCTGCTGCTGCCTGTGCTTTGTTTGCTTCAGACTTGTTTTTGTGGGAGGAAGACATCCATTTCAAATCTGCTGAACACCGTTACCAAGCAGCTGCTGGTTTACAGCAGCCTAGTGGGTGGCAGAAGACGGGGAGTGGAGAATTGGGGTTTCAGACCCGGGGCTGTCGGGGTCGTCTTGCTCCCCTGCCTTGCATGCTCACCGCTGGGGGGAGAGACCATTGCATTTTGGGAGTGGAGGGAACCACTGAGGTGACACCTGCAGACGGGATGTGCTCACCTGAGGTCACAGGTCGGCTGTGGGCAGCAGGACCCCCCGCCCCTTCTTCCATGGCCCTGCTCCCTGCGGCTGCTGTGCTTGGAGGTTGAGAGCAGCTGGCCAGCAAGTTCCTGGCCTCTCCACGCCCCTCAGAGCCTGCCTCTCACCTCCTGTCTCCCTCTCAAAGACGGTTCCCTCTGCCTCTAGGCTCGGCTCCTCGGCGTGGCTGTGCGCCGGCCACGGCTGCCCAGGCCCGCTGGCTCCTCGGCCCCCTCTCCTGGGCAGGCCACCTCGTCTCTGGGAAGAGCAAACTGCCCCCAGCTGAGCATTGTCACGGTGCTTACCAGTGCGAGGAGCTTCTGTCACTGGTGGGGCGACTGTGGGCTCTTTACCCACCGACCCTCCCACCCCAGGCTGTGTGTGCTCTAAATACAATGGAGAAGTGGGGCGTACCTTAAAAAGGGGTGTGAGGGTGTGGGCATGCTGCTCTGGCTGCGTCTGGCTTGGGGAGCGCCACAGGTGACAGCTGTTGAGTGATGAGACCACGTGGAATGAGTTAGGAACGGCTGCAGTGCTGTGGCCGGGGACCCCTCAGTGGGGCAGCCTGGCCAGCCCTGTCCCCTCAGATCACTGCTGCACAGCGAGTCAGTGTGCAGGCTCATGGAGCCACGTGGCTAGATTGCTGATACAGTTTTGACTTTAAAACACAAGTATTTTTTGATGTACGATGTGCAGTAGTTTCTTCACAGATATTATTTTTTAAAAAGCTAACAGACCTTCCACTGAAGTTAAATGCAGATTTATATCCGTGTGTCTCTTGATAAGAGGTTAACAGAAGAATTTAGATTTAGAAGTCCAGATCTTTTTGGAAGTCCTTACGTAAAACATTGGGGGGCTAAATTATGTGTTTAAAGTACCTTCTAACACAAAGCTTGATGAAACTCTGAGATCTTGAGGGTTTTATTTGAGTAAAGAGGGAAGGTGCTGTGCAAGGTATTTAATCCTAGTTCACTCAAGATACAGGGTGTCTAGTTCCCCTTTCGGCAGCTTTCCAGTTCTACCCTGATGCACGGGTGACCTCCAGCGTGCACCGGCACCGCTCCCGGAGGGCCCGCAGGCTCCTCGCTCCAGGGCCGGAGAGGCCCGGGAGGCCAGTGGGGGTAGCAGAGCCTGAGTACATGGACAGAACAAGATTACCTGCCCCCTAGCAGGAGCTGGCCAGCTGATCATGGCTCAGAAACGCACGAAACATCCTGTAGCTCCGACGAGCTACGGGCAGGGAAGAGTGAGTCCACGGGACAGGAGGGATCGGCTCTTTGAAGCCAAAGGTCGGTCCATAGCATTGTGATCAGCGATTTCAGCCTTTTCATCGCGTGGCACAAACTAACTGCTAAAATTCTGCGGCACGCCAAAAAACATGTTTTTTGACAATTTGACAAGAAAAAGAATAGGTGTAATTTTGGTTCGTTCCCACTAGATGACTGTTGTTTTGGCTGTTGTCATTTTTATTTGGCGATCTAAGGGAGAAGAGGTCAGTGCCTGGACTAAACAGTCAGGTATTGCACGTTTTAAAGTTCTTTTGGCTCACTAGTTGAAAATCGGTGTAATAAACAATACTAGTGTGTGCATTCATAGCAAAGTAGTGTCACTACATCTAATAAACAAAACCAAGAAAATGTCACAGATAAAAGCTCCCTGATGTGAACGGGCTGCCACACTGAGCGTCTTGCCTGGCGTCCTGGGACCATGCGGACGAGCCTGGCAGGTGCGGCCGCGGCCGGACATCCGTGCTGGCAGGAGGCAGTGAGGCTTACCGACCGAAAGTCTGGACGAACTTTGCATTTGTGAAATGTCCTACAGGAGAATCAGCTTACAGTTCATCTTGCCTTTCTGCTATGACACATGTTTACTTTGCCTTCCGTATATTTGCTTGGCTTAGCCACTTTGAACAAGGAAAGGAAACACAAAAAAACCCCCTCTGAACTCATATTTTTGGCTGCGTTTGTAAATTGTGAAGGTGGGGGTGAGGATGTTCAGAAACCCATGGAAATTTCTGTGCCTTCAGAACATTGTGCCTGTTCAACATGATGAGCTTTTAAAACACTTTGTTAAAACGTGGTTCCGTTTTTGTAATTGTATAGTCAGCAGTTTTGAATGTTGCTGATGGCATCACTGAACTTTTTAATATCCAGAAATGTTGTGTGCTCCTTTTCCTACCTCGAGCTGTTTCATACAATAAAGACTCTGCTCTTTTACTCGCTCATTTCAGAGAGGAAGGATTTTGCTGGTATAAGCTATTTCACCCCCACCCCCAAAAAGAATCACAAAACAATTCTTTTTTTGTTGTGCTTTTCCCCCTTTAATAAATGATAACGTTATGATCTTTAATAAAGCTAGTGTCGCCTCTTATTCTTGTTCGTATTTCCAGGAGTCACTACACCAAATGATGATTGTATGACTATAGGAAAGACCACGCCTTTAATAGGAATCCTTAGTGGGTAGCATACGTTGTAGGCACTTCCAGATGTTTGTTAAGCTGAACTGGTATGTGGCCCTCTCTTTCGGAGGCCTGGGGATGGGTCTAAGGACAGGTTTGAAGGTGTTGGAAAAGTAAGGTGTTCTGGGGCTGTTCCTGCACACTTAGCTTGTTTAGTCACATTGACTAAACTAGGACTGTTAGATTCATTAGCATAAAGTTTATAATTTTTTAAAATTCTTTTTATGTCTATAGGATTTGTAGTGTCCCGTCTTTCATTGCAGAGACTGGTACTTTGCGTCTCTTCTCTTCGCCTGAGGTTTATGAATTTTATTGATTGTTTTAAAGAAACCTCAGTTAAAAAGATTTGAACAAGTATTTAACGAAGACGTGAATGGTTAACAAACATCTAATATTGTGTTATTGCATGAAGATGAAAAACCAGATAAAACTAAATTCTAGACTTTAAAGGTGCATTGTTAGGTGGTAAAATTAAAATGACAGGCAAAGAAGTTATTTGCATAAAGTTAGGATAGTGATGACTTCGGGAGGGATGGGGAGATTAATGATTGGGAAGGGACACGGTGTGCAGGCGGATCCTGGGTGCTGGTCATGTCCTATTAAGTGGAATTTACATTTACAAGATGTTTACTCTGATAAATCCTTGCACTGTATGTTTGTTTTTGAAATGTCCTACATGTGCACTTTCGTGATGTATCTACATTATAAAAGGCCAGTGGCCATAATACTGGAACGACCAAATGACCGGTCACCAGGAGGTGATTGATGGGTCTCGTGGCGCGGTGGGTCTGGGGTTCCGCGGCCGTGTGGCGGGTCTGAGTCTCATGTGATTTCGCGTGCTGGGCCTCTAGTTTTACAATAAAAAATACCCACTTTCATTTCATGATTGGTTATCTGTTTTTTATTTAATTGATTTATTTTCTTACCTTTATTATTTATTTTCTTATACTTTCTTTGGGTTTAACTGATTCTTCTAGCTTTTTAAGGTGGGAGCTTAAATAATTGATTTTAGATCTTTCATCTTTTCTAATATAATACTATAAATTTCCCTCTAAGCACTGCTTTAGCTGCACTTCACAAATTTTGATATGTTGTATTTCATTTTAATTCAGTTTGAAATATTTTCTCATTTCCCTGTGATTTCTTCTTTGACCTATTGATTATTTGTAAGTGTATTTAACTTTCAAACACTTGGAGATTTTCCAAATAGCTATTATTGATTTATAGTTTAATTCTTTTGTAGTCAGAGAGCATACTCCAAATGATTTTAATCTTTTAACATTTATTGGGCCTTGTTTTATTATTGCCCAGCATATAGTCTATCTTGGTGGGTGTTCCAGGTGTCTTTGAAAAGATTGTGTATGTGTTGTGTGGAGTATTCTATAAATACCAATTATGTCAAATTGTCTCATAGTGTTGTTCAGCTTCTAACCTTACTGATTTTGTCTACTTCTAGAAATTATAATTTGGGTTTAACTATTCATTCAATCAGTTGTTTACACTTTGCTTATTTTAAACCTTTTGAAAAATAAAACACACAAAGATAGAAAATACAAACCAATAAAGAATGTACGGCTCAGTGATGGTATAACCACCACCCACATCAAGAAATAGAATGTTGCCAACACCTCGAGGTTGCCTTGTGCGCTTGTGCGGTATTGCCTCCTGTGTCTCTCAGAGGTCACCGCCCTCCTGTGTGCAGCGTCCCTGCGCTAGTTTTCTTCAGAATGCCTTCCTTTCTCCGTTTTACTGAGCTTTAACTGATGTAGCCCTGTGTAAGTTTAAGGTGTACAGTGTAATGACTCACATCAGGGGTCCTCAAACTACGGCCCGCGGGCCACGTGCGGCCCGCCGAAAACATTTATCCGGCCCGCCGGGTGTTTTTGCGGCCGCCGCCTGTCCTGCTTAGCAGCCGACTCGTCCCGGGCCCGCAGTGTGGAATGTCTGAGGGACAGTGAGCTGGCCCCCTGTTTAAAAAGTTTGAGGACCTCTGACTTACATATACTGCAAAACGATTACCCCCATACCTTTTGTTACCCGATCATTTCATATAGATAGAAAAAATGTGTTTTTTCCTCTCCCTGTGATGAGCTGGAAACGGTTCACGGAACTCCTGGGCCTCTGAACAGGGTCAGGACGAAGAGATTGGAGCCTTTCGCATAGAAAAACCAGCCAGCGAAGGGCTAGCAGCGGCCCCTGTAGTGATGGAGGGCATGGGAGTCCGAAGAACGCACACCCAGGTTGGTGCCACCACACTGCTGAGTCCCAGAACCCAGCAGCTTCGTGAAGATGGAAGGAGGGCCCTTCAGCCTCACCTTGTAGAGCAGGGGCGTAACCAAGACGTTTCTGTGCCGAGCGAGCCCGTCGCTGGCTGGGGTGATGGCCGTGTCTGCTGATGCCTCCACACCTGTTCCGGCACCTTCCACCGCAGTCCCTTCATCGTAACAGCGTGGTCTTTTGCACGCGCCTTCCATTGCCTTCAGGATGAGGCCGTGTCTCATACTTAGACCTACAGGGCTGTGGGCCTGGTGTGGTCTGGCTTCTCCCTTTTCATCTTCACCCTGCCATTCCTGCCTCCGGTCGTGTTCTGTTGCCATGTGGTCTTCGCATGTGCTGTTTCACCTGCCTCTGTCCCCTCTGCCAGATTACTCCTCCTCACCTGCACATTTCAGCGTCAGCCTCGCTTCCTCGGGGGGCGTCCCCCACACCCCCCCACTCTGTGTTGTCCTTGGCAGACTGGAAGTCCCCTGCTGACTGCCCTGCCCCCCAGCACACCACCCAAAGGAGACTAGGCACCTCAGTTATTTGCTGAATGAATGAAAGTATAAAGGGGAGGCCACAGGCAGGCAGGCTGACGGGCCTGCGGATGTAGTTGGTCTGTCCCCACACAGTATTTAAAATGTCTTTGCTTTTGGTGCCTTGGGATGGGCGCGTGCCTTTTCATGTCTCCAGGCTGGGTGCCCAGCCTCGGGTCCTAGGCCAGCGTGTGTGTGTCCCTGGCTTAGCTGCATGAGGGTGGGTAGCTGCGGGGAAGTCAGGAGCCTTTTAACCTTGTCAACCTGGAGGACAGGGTATCCTCCCCGGGGCGGTTCCCTCCCATTATCATCGTCAGCGACTGAAGGGAGGTTTGGAACGACGTTCTCGTAGATCCCTGGAGACACGGGCAGAATTCATTCTGGGTGATGTTTCTGGTGAAAACGCAGCTGTGTGGGGTGTGACGAATAGTGGGTTGCCAGTGGCTTTATAGGTTAACCTTTCGGACACAGCGAGGGATGGGTTGTCAGCGTGGGAGGGTGTGTGACGAGTCTCCTATGACATTGGGTTGGAACTGCCTCCCCAGACACTAATGAAAGAGTAATCCTCCCTAAATTGCCCCAAAGCTAGTAATCCCCCGGCTGCAGGTTGGTGATTAGAAAAGAAAGGCAGAGCAGCTGTCTTTTTGTTCGGTTTAATTACGACCAGGTACCTGGGCGAGCGTTAATTTCCTGGGGGCACGGGCGGGGGAGCAGGTGTCAGGTCTCTGCCGGGACTGAATGTACAGACGCGGGCTCTGCGCGGTGTGTGCCGGCGGCATGGCCAGGCCGCTCCAGGCCTGGGCTCAGGTTGCGTGGCTTTCCACTTCTGCCCTTTGAGTCCGAGACATGGCACCGTGCGCCGAGGAGGGCAGGGCTATCGGGTGTCCGCCAGGTCGCACCCCTTAATTAATACCCTCCGCTCACCCCCGGAAAGCAGCAGGGCAGCTGCTGGACCTGGGAGACAAAACAGCATCCTCCTCAGGCAGAACACGGCGCTCCGCATCCCCCAAGGTCAGGGCCGGGGGTCAGAGCTGGCATGACCCCTAGTTCCCACATCCCAGTCGGTGTCCAGGGTGCTCACAGGTGGCCTGCGAGCTGTGACTGCTCTTGGGGGGGGGCGTGTTCCTGCTCGTGGTGAGCGTGGACGCCACCCTCCACTCCTCCGTGTCCTCTGTCCTGGGAAATGCCCGTCTCCTGCCCAGCCTTCCAGCTAGACCCCAGGGCATCCTCGCGTGTGCCCTCTTCCCAGCAGCGGCAGCCTGTGGACCCCACCTTCTAAAGAGCTGCCCCGGCTGCCATGCCCTCCGCGTCCCCCCGCACCTGCTGGCTCGCCCTTCCCCCTGCCCTCCCCCCACAATGCCACGCTTGTCTCCTTGCTGAACGAAGCGGCCGCTCTAATCGCCCAGGCGGCTTTTGGAAGCTGCAGTCATCTCGCACTGCCTTTGGGACGTGTGAGTCTCACCTTCACTCTTGCTGGGTTGGTATTCTAACTTCAATAGTTCTCTTATCTACTTTACCTTTTCCTTGCCCTGGAAGACACACGTTGCACCTGCTGGCTCTGTTTCTCTGGCAAACCTGTTCTAACCACACTGTCGGTCCTGTGCCACCAGCAGGGTTTGCCTGTGGGAAATACTGAAGGTCCAAACCCCTTTAAATTTCCTCTCGTCCACGTTCCACTGCTGAACCCCTCCAGGTTATTGCAACGCTCCGTGTTTTTGCACCTCCAGCCCCTTCATGGAATCTCTCTTCCTGGAGTGCAGTTCGTCCTGTGCCCAGCGAGGTTAGGCCCTTTCAGCACTCCAGTGTCCCCTGCTCCGCAGAGGTGTCCCGCTCCCCGGGTTCTGGGCCGCCGCTGGCAGCTTCCCTCCCAAACTTCACTGCAGCCATCTGGCCCTTTCCTCCCTCCTGGGCCCCGGGAGCCAGCACAGAGCGGCTCCGTGATGGGGTTGAATGAATGCTGGGGTTGGTGCCAGGGAAGCACACCCTCCTGTGGCCATAAAACCAGAGGATGTCGGGAGAACTCAGAGACTTCGGCCCCTCCTGGCACGGGAAGCAGGAGGAGTTGTGGTGTTGACTGCCCAGGACGCAGGGCTATGCGTG